TGGCAAAAGACCCCGAAGGTGAAATATAAGTCACTCGATCGATAAATGAAATATTTTCGGACCTGAAGTCTGAACACCCATAGACGTCAAACCAGTAGGTTATAAATGGGTGTCTGTAATAAACAGAAATAAAATAAATGAGATTGTGCGATATGAAGTACTACTTGTAAGGCAAGGGTTTTTCCCTAATCCGAGTTGATTATGAGGAAACATATTCTCCACTAGTGGATGCATTATCCTTTTAGAATTTTAATTGGCCTCGCAATCTCAAAAGGACTTCAAATAAATGATACGGATGTCGTTATAACATAATTATAAGGGACACTTGAAATTGACATCCGTGTGATAATAATCCCTGAAGGATTCAAGATGCCAGAAGCAATAGAATTAATCGAGATATGTGTGAAGAGATCGTGGAATGGTCTCAAGTAATCTGGCCACATGTAGTACAATTGGCTCAGTGAATATCTCGAAAAAGAAAGATATAAATTTGAAATGAACCTATGTGTTGTCATTCAAGGATCACTCTCATTATTTTTTATTATAGCAGTTTACGTCGACGTATAAATATCATTAGATCTCTTGAAGAGATAGAAAAAACTGTTAAACTCTTGAAGAGAGAATTTGGGAAGGAAGGTCCTAAAATGACATAAATTATACTTCAGATTGTATTTTAAACACCTATATGACGGAACATTTATCCATAATTTAAACTACGTCCAGAAGATGTTAACACATTGGAATATGGATAAAGCTCATCTTTTGAACATACCCATGGTTGTTCATTCATATATATATATATATATATATATATATATATATATATATATATATATATATATATATATATATATATATATATATATATATATATATATATATATATATATATATATATATATATATATATATATACATAACATTCTAATCGCCTCCCAGAAGAGGGCGAAGAAACACTTGGTCCTGAAGTACCAAATTTAAGTGTGAAATTAGACAGGTAATGTGTTCACTTATGGTGATACGACTTCTCCTTGGACGTCGACTGAGCGAGCACGAACAACATGGAATCAAGCTGAACTGATAGCATTATACAATAGTGATCGAGAGCGAGCATGGTAGAGATTGATGATCAATCTAATACAAGGAGCATGCAGTTTGAAAGAAATCAAGAACAATGCTACGATTATATATAAACATAGTGCAACATGCATAGCTCAAATCAAGGAAGGCTACATCAAGACAGAATGAAGCAAATCTCAACAAAGTTTTTCTCAACATCTGATCTGTAGAAAGGTGGAGAGATCAATGTTCTTCAAGTTAAATCAAGCAAAATTTGGCGGACTTATTCACCAAATCTCTACCTAGACACAGTTTTGAGCAACTCAGAAAGAAGATTGGACTTCGCAGGCTAAAAAGAGAGAAATTAGTTTGAGGGGGAGTATATTTTTATTTTGAGGGAAAATATTATACACGCTGTACTCTTTTTCCCTTAACTAAGTTTTGTCCCACTGGGTTTTCTTAGTAAGGTTTTTAATGAAGCAGCATAACGGATCCTGCAGTATCAGTTAATATAGGTCCTGAAGAACCTAGCCAACATTATCCCGCAGTATAATGTTGTTAGTGTATAATGAACGATGATATATATCTGAGGGGGAGTGTTAAATATGGTAGATATATTTCTTATTCTATTTAGAATATCTTGTTTCCTTATTGACCTAGACTATACCTCCTCCCGTGTATGTATAAATACCCCCCGTATATGATGAATGAGTTACCGAGTTCACAACAGAATATTATATTTTAAAATTTAGTCTTTTTTTTATGTTGCATTGCAGCATTTAACAATTACTCCGTAATTATTATGAGTTGTGATGCTTACATCAAAATTAATTAACTACTCGTGGTTAAGACCATTCTTGATTCTGAATTTAACATCACACCAAATTAGGTATTGTCATGATTACATTAATTCATCAAGCTAGCTACATAGTACATACTCTTTATTAAAAAAAATTATGTATCCCCCTTCATTCTTTTTAATTGTCTATTTTTATTTTACTTCGAGTACTTTGACTAATTATTTACAAAATTATTATATAATGATCGATCGACTTAGAATATAAAATTTGCATCATAATATTAGTATAAAAAGATTTTACTTTACCACTTTTAATGTTTTTTTGCTAAGATATATTTTGCGAGATGTTGTTGATTAAAGATTAACACGAAAAATAAAACATATAGTATAAAAAGGGCAAGACAATTCAAAAAAGATTGAGGAAGTATTTTTTATTCAATCCCAAGCAATAACCCAATGTAATTTGAGGAAACTATTCTCATATTAGCAAGTCAATTTATCAAATACTAGCTAGATAAAGTTCATTCTCATGGATTCATGGTGTATATGATTATCGATGAATATGTCAGATAAATTATGCCTCTTTCATTTACACCAATAATGTATATTCAATGTGCATGAGTATAAAAAAGTGTTTTGCCCTTTCATCAATAATGGTACCCACACCTTAATAGAAATAATTAAATTATAGGCACATTCAAGCTAAAGAACTTCATACATTCTTTATTCGTAAAAAACTATTTATTATGACTTCGAAGATACATTAAAAAATTAATGAATATAGAAATAATATTTGTCCGCATTCATTCAAAATCTAAAATGTAAACATAATTACTCCATATGACACTATAAAAGGCACACGTTTTGTCAAGGATAAACTCGTGAAAATTGTATTTTTAATTTTTCTTTAATATGACTTCTCATGGATTTACTCCTTTTAAAATGTACTCCCTCCGTTCCACAAAACCCTTCCTCTTTCGTTTTTTTGCTTTCCACAAAACACTTCCACTTTCTATTAAAAACCACTTTTACCCCTACTTTTTCATATCCTACCTATCACATCATACTTTTTCGCTAATAACCAAACTATTACATCTTACTTTTTCCCATCACATCAGGGGCAAAATTGGAAAGTCAACCAAAATTACACTTTTCTTATTTTTCTCCAAAGTCAAAACCGGAAAGATTTTGTGCAACGGAGGGAGTAAATATTAACAAAGTCACAAAATTTTTATAGTTGAGTACCGGAGTATATATTAAGGGCCTGTTTGGGAATAGCGTTAGCGATTAGCATTAGCGTTTTGAAAAGGCTATCTACGGGCAGCGTTTAGCGTTAGAGTTTTCAAAATAATATGCACCGTTAAAATTTTATCCAAAACGCTAACGCTAATCTCTAACGTTATTCCCAAACAGGCCCTAAGTAGTGGTGTAGGAATGTAGTGTTAATAACGAACATCTTAGTGAGGAAGTAAAGCTAAGGAACAAATTGCATCTTAATTCTATCTTCACATGTAAGAAATGAACTTTGGAACACAAACAAGCAAAGCAACCTAATTGGCCCTAACAAAGGCTATATATTCAATTCCCATATAAGACAATTTTTACTCCATCAACATTTCCTAATTTAACACCGGCCTTTATATATATATATATATATATATATATATATATATATATATATATATATATATATATTTATTGATATTAGAATAATAATATTGCTCCTTGAATTATGAAGTACATGATAGAGTATATATAGGAGAGACTCCTAACACAACTAGGAATAGAGAATGAAAACTAACATACAACATCTACCACAAATAGGATTAAGAAGCTGACTAATAATGAAACACTACCATAACCAATACTACAAGAAGTACTATTAGTATTAGTGTCTAACATCCCCCCTCAAGATGAACTCTGGCTGAAGCAAGAGGAAGCTTGGACACTAGATGGAAACTGGAAACTTTGAGAAGAGAGAAGTCGGACATGCGCCGGTGGCTGCTCACGTCGTTGGAGAAGAGAGAAGTGTGACGCATGCCGGTTGCTGCTGACGTCGTTGGAGAAGAGAGAAGTCTGACGCGCATTGGTAGTTGTAGACATCGTTCAAGAAGAGNGCTTGTAGCTGCTGACGTCGAAGAAGAATAGAGAAGGCTATTTGAGGTGCCTGTTTGACTGAAGATCTTTGACATTCTTTGTCTTTTTCTTGGATCCGGGCAATGCCCTATTTCTTTCTTGAAGGGGTGTAGAAGGATTCTTTCCTCTTTCACTACTTCCCCTATTGGCGTTGCTTTTGTGTTATTTTTTTTTGGATTTTTTATTGGTTCAACAAAAGAAAAAGAAAAAGGATCGAGGTTGATGATTAGAATGAGTGATTTTAGAGAGGAAAAAAAAGATGGATTAAGAATTGGTGATGGAGAAAAGATCTACATACATACGAGATTCTTATATGGTAAATTGGAGAGAAACAACAATCTTTTTCCTTTTTTTTGAGAAGATAGGATGATCTCAGGGAGTTTGTGAGGAGTTGGTTTTTTTTGAAGAACCATGGAGATAAGAAGAAAGAAGTTTATCCTTTGATAGTTTTTTTGTGTGATTTCCACAGGTTTTTTTTCTTTTTTTTCATTTGAATGGAGAAATTGAGTTGAGGATAAAGAAGAAAAAGAAAATAGAGGTGAATAGGGTGGAGCCGCCGTCGCCAGAAATACCGGCGGCGGGACGTGGGAGCAAAAATCTTTTTTTAGGTCACCAAGAGCGGTGGCTCCGATACCATGTTGAAATATTAGAATAATAATATTGCTCCTTAATTATGAAGTACATGATAGAGTATATATAGGAGAGACTCCTAACACAACTAGGAATAGAGAATGTAAACTAACTAACATACAACATCTACCACAAATAGGATTAAGAAGCTGACTAATAATGAAACACTACCATAACCAATACTACAAGAAGTACTATTAGTATTAGTGTCTACCATAACCAATACTACAAGAAGTACTATTAGTATTATATATATATATATATATATAAATGACTCGATCTCCCACTCTTATATTATTTTGTATTGAGTAATTAAACAGTGGGCGTTGCGCAGTTGATAAAGTAACGAGTGCTTAGGGAACAAAAGCTGAGTTCGATTCCTGGCAACAGTGTTGGGAGGCAACTATGCTAAGCATAGGGACTTTGCAAGTACCAGATGCATACTCCACTTTTTGCTACCTGTCTAATTTACCTCCTCTCAGTGACTGTCCGACCGAGACTGAGGGGACTCTCGGGGATGAGGCTCATCTTTTTTTTAGAATTAAGTAATAAATCTTAAAATGAGTTGATTACACACATATGATCATGACAGGTTTTGAGGACTCAACAGTTGAGGACAAGAAGGAAAAAAAGAAGGATTTTAGCTCTTAATTGGGATTGTTATAAAATTACAAAATAATTCGATCATTTTATAAATTATAACTCAATAAAAGAAAACATGTTTGGTTCAGCTTAAGGGTCTTATGCTCCAATCCGGTCAGTGACCCCTACTTCATCATATCCAAAATTTTATCATGGTACCAGAACCTGTTTTAGTACTTCATTTGCCATGATGTCTGTCTAGAAGTTCATCCCTAACGATTCATTAGTCTTTAGCTCAGTTGTTTGTATAAAAATGGCCCGTGACTCATTTTACCTGATTGTTTGTCTAAAAGTCCATATCAATTGAACATAAAAAAATTGGTATATATATTTTTGAGTTGAAGTAAGTAACTATTATTAATCCAATCTTTTAATGTGGTCCAGCTCAAGTGTATAATGATCAGTCTAATGACTATTATGTCATCATAAAATTTATCATACTACAATAAAATAAGAGTTAAAAATAAATAAAAATATCTATTATTGCTTAGGACTACTACTATAAAATAAGAATTAAAAGTTCAAAAAAAATCTTTTCAAGACCAATAATATGTCACAAAATCACGACCAATAGTACGTGGGGCTGAGTAGTTGACATCTCATGTCTTAGATTCATATAATCATACACAAGTTTTCAGTTCAAAAATCAAAATGGGTGCAACTGAGATTTATTCTTTTTCTTCAAATCTTAAATTTGGATTTCACATATATACTCTGTACTGATTTGAAGTATCTCATCACATGTTACCGCCTTCCAAATGTGGTACAACATAACCCCACCTATTTATGCAGGAGTAATAGGACCGTCCTACGAACTCTGCCTCCACCTAGGGTCGTAAACGAATCGAATCGAAGCAAATTCACCTCAATTAGTATTTGTATTTGTTAGATATTGGAAAAAAACTAATACTACCTCCGTTTCTCAAAAGAGTTCCTCTTTTGACTTTGGGGGAAAATAAGGAAGTGTTAATTTATAGTTGACTTTCCAATTTTGCCCTTGATGTGATGGGTAAAAGTAAGATGTGATAGTTTAGTTGTTAGTGAAAAAGTATGATGTGATATGTAGGGTATGAAAAAGTAGGGGTAAAAGTGGTTTTTTAATAGAAAGGGGAAGTGTTTTAAGAAAAACAAAAAAATGAAAGAGGAAGGGTTTTAAGAAACGGAGGGAGTATTTGAATTTGAATTATGCGAATTCAAATCGTTATATTCGAATACGAATCCTGAATCGAATTTAAAATAGTTGATTTATTTACATCCCTACCTCCACTCCCATGCCCCCACACATGAAAGTACAGATGATTTTATACACATATACACGACAATCATTTGTAAATAACACAGATGATCATTGTTTGTGCAAGTATAAAATTATTTGGATTGTCATGGGTGGAGGCGTGGTTGGTGGGGTTTTTAGCATTATCTATTTATATATATATATATATATATATATATATATATATATATATATATATATATATATATATATATATATATATATATATATATATATATATATATATATATATGCTCATTTGGTTGCAAAAAGTTATTTGAATTTTAGGGGATTTTTTTGAATCGTTAGTGTTTTTGGTTTTTCGAGATCCGCTAATAATTAGTCAAGAATATTTATTTTTATACTCCCTCCATCCCTTAAATTCTTTCTTTCCTTTTTTCTTGTCTCACAAACTCTTTTCCTTATCTATTAAAAAACAACTTTTACCCCTATTAATTCTTACCTTATCTATCACGTTATACATTTTTACTAATAATTTATCCATCACATCCTACTTTTATCCATCACATCAAGAATATTTATGAAAAGTCAATACAAAAATATTCATTTCTTAAATTTTCAAAAAGACAGGAAGTTCCAATTTATAATTACAATAATGAAATTTCGCACGTAGATATTGGAATAAAAACTAATACTACCTCCGTTTCTCAAAAGAGTTCCTCTTTTGACTTTGGGGAAAAATGAGGAAGTGTTAATTTGTAGTTGACTTTCCAATTTTGCCCTTGATGTGATGAGTAAAAGTAAGATGTGATAGTTTAGTTGTTAGTGAAAAAGTATGATGTGATATGTAGGGTATGAAAAAGTAGGGGTAAAAGTGGTTTTTTAATAGAAAGGAGAAGTGTTTTAAGAAAAACAAAAAAAATGAAAAAGAAAGGGTTTTAAGAAACGGAGGGAGTATTTGAATTTGAATTATGCGAATTCAAATCGTTATATTCGAATACGAATCCTGAATCGAATTTAAAATAGTTGATTTATTTACATCCCTACCTCCACTCCCATGCCCCCACACATGAAAATACAGATGATTTTATACACATATACACGATAATCATTTGTAAATAACACAGATGATCATTGTTTGTGCAAGTATAAAATTATTTGGATATAAACTTATATTCGAATATTCGAATATCATTCAAATCGAATATATCCCTATTTGTATTTGTATTTGATTAATATTCGAATAAAAAATAATATTTGAATTTGAATTTGTATTTGAATAACGCGAATTCGAACCATCATATTCAAATACGAATCGCGAATCGAATTTAAAATATTTGATTTGTTTACATTCCTAGACGGAGGGAGTATTAAATAGTTACAAAATTTAAGTATGTGTACAAAAAAAGGGTCACAATCAAACGTTGGGTATGGGGATATATATATATATATATATATATATATATATATATATATATATATATATATATATATATATATATATATATATATATATATATATATATATATATATATCTGTGTGTGTGTGGGGCAAGGAATATATACTTGCTTGCTAGAGCATATTCGCATGAGAAAATGTTAACACCGACCCGATCACCATCAATTTGGACTCACTCACTCATTCAACACTTTGCCAACTTATTTAAGTTTGGTTGTCCCAACATACTTTATACTCCCTAAGTACAAAAAAAGGTTCTCTTTTAAATGAAATTATTAAAAATATAATTAAATTTAAGTTAATTATAAATACATAAATATTAAATTATATTATAAATTGAGTAATCATTGCAGTGGAAGTAGAATACAACAAGTGTTAAAGTAAGTAAAGTGCCAATGTAGAGCTGAGTGACTACTAATTTGGACTAAGTAGTGGTTAGCAATCTAAGAGAAAAATACTTAATTCTAATTCGTAACCAAGACTTTGCAATTGTGGCCCACCACGTGTCCGCCACTAGTGGCGGAGCCAAATGGGACCAAATGACTGCAATTGCAGTCACTCCACTTTGGGTTTCCATCTGTATATACATACATACACATAGCTTTCAGCTCCTTCCTAGACATACACCTCCGTTGCTCTCCACTATGTCTATCATTTTCAAATAGCCCTTTCAACACTCTTGCTATCCATTCTCGTCCAAAGCTGCCAATTTTCAGTTGATTGAAGCTTTGAGAGGATTCCCAATTGATTTCATTGATCAAAAAGTTACATTTATGTTATTGCATACCATGTGTTCGACAAAATACCTATGAGACCTATGTTTATTTAACGTCTCCGACAAAGGCTAGACAGATTGACTTGTCACTTTGTTTGTGCCTTGCACCCACTGGGTTTGGATCCTGGCTCCGCCACTGCCGCCACCCATCACAACCCGCAACCACGCCCCACCAATGCAATTGTGAATTGTTGCCAGCCACCTAGCACCATTGATGGCGCGAAGTTTCACTGCGATTTATTTTATTGTTCTCTGTTGTGTACACTTTTCGACGGTGCCCTCTCTTGATCGGAATGCAAACCTGCCTCCCACACCAGAGGCAGAGAATAAACTGAGCGAATTCGCCCAAGAAGAGTTGGCCGGAAATAAAAAAATATCACCCTATTACATGGTTGTGGTGAGTGTATGCGCGGTCCTAAGATTCTAAAGCATCATTAAAAGTTATTATCCAACCTCTAACAATGGTCACAAACTTAATTAGTGGCACTTATTAATGTGAGGATGGTCGATATGATTATTTGTTACCAAATTGTCAACTATGTTCAATTTCATTGTTGTTTTTATGAATTGTCAACCAAACTTATTCATGCCATGTGTCTGTACTTCATATTTCGCCTGTTTGGACCGTTCTTTTTTATTAGTCCACGGAAAAAAGGTTCAATTTCGCTTTTGCGAATCTGCCGCTTTATTTCGAAAGGAGAATTGCATCATCATACACGTAAGCATGACTTTGTTCTTCGGAATGTGGAACGCCAAAAACTCCTTTACCCTCTAAAAACACTTTCTATATTGATTTTTAAAAGATTAGGGTCTCTTTGGAAATAATGTTAAAAATTAGCATTAGCATTATGAATAAAATTTTAACAGTGTAAATTACTTTGAAAATGCTAAATGATACCTGTAGATAGCATTTTCAAAACGTTAACGCTAATTTCTAACGCTATTCCCAAATAGGCTCTTGGAGTATTTTTTCCAATTTATTCTTATTATTTACTCCATATTATTTAAAGAAATCACCAAAAATAAAAATAAAACATAGATAAAAGACTAAAATATGAGTTCCATTATTTTTAAAATAAGAGTTTACATTAAATTGCGGTAATGTAGTACTGTATATAGACATTTTATAACACTTTTGGTGATGCATACGATCATCATTGAAACTATATATGTATTTTAATTTCTATTTCAAAATTAAAAATATAGAACCCATATTTTCATATATTTTTAATGTTTTACTCATATTTTGGTATATTTTCTTATTGGAGTCATATGAGACAAGATTAGACTTAAGCAGTTAGACAAGATCAAAAATAACTTTAAAAATAACTACAATTAGATCATACCGGATCAGATGGTGAGATTTTTATGAATCAGATGAGACAAAGAGAACAAGCTCTTAAGAGAACAAGCACATGACGGAGAGAGTATTTTTTAGAGAAAAAGATGTGTGATCCAGATTATTTTGTATTCTCTATACAAAAATGAACCACACAAATTTTATTTTGATAAATTTTGTGACAATCTTACACAAAAAAAAACTCGTAAATAGTTAGGAGACAGAAGATAGTGTATTATAGACTAACATTAAGTTCTACTTAAGTCTTGTTCCTATGCATGTTTTTTCATGATTCTTTTGTGGAAAGGACGATGGATATATGGCATATTGTCACCCCCCCTGAGTCCACTCTTTAATGCCTTTCCTGTTGTTTTTGCTAAGAAGAGTGAGACATGTTTATAATCATAGCTACTATATATACACCCTGCAGACATTTTTCACAAGAGTTCTTGGAAGACATCATTTGAGTTTCCCTACTACAAATTGATTGGGTATTACTTGTTCATTGCAATGTGCATGTTTCAACTTGAGAGGCATAGTAACAAAGAATTGGATTGATTCCATGACTTCTACTATGTGTTAAGGATATACTACCTTCGTCCCAGTATATTTGTCCAGTTTGATTTTTCCGAGTCAAACTGGATAAACTTTGAACTTCAATTAAATAAAAACGGTAATGTATTTTAATATAAAAATGACTTTATTGGATTTATCGTATTTTCCAGTTTGACTTGAAAAAGTGAAACTGTACAAATACACTGGGACGGAGGGAGTATATTTTCTTTATTTTGTTCTCCTCTTGTTTAGTTATTTTCTATTTTTTTTGCTATGTATTGTACTGTAAATCAATGCAAGATTGATAAGTTAATACCACACAAAATAATTAGTTACAAGCACAACCTAATACTTTATGCTTCCCACTCTGTTTGGCCATGGGCGGACCTACAGAGGTTCAATTGAAGTCAACTGAGTCCACTGAATAACTTGGTAGAGTGGCCAAATTGGGTATGTCCTGCCTATATTAATTTGGGGGTACCGGTTCGAACCCAGTTTACTACCCGCAATGGGTTTTTTTTGGTGAATTGTAAATTTTATTTTTATATGATAGGGTTACAACAAAGAAAAAAATATTTGCATCCCAAAATTAAAGACACAATTGAATAATTGATCGAGTATCTTTGACCATAAATTAATATATTTTTGAATAAATAAATATTACTCCGTTTAAAATGGTGATATATCAAAATTATATTTTAAAATAAATTTAATTTTATGTAATTTATATTATAATTAAATATCTTTTTTCTTAGTGTGATTTATAACATTCCCATCAATAACAATGTCAATCATACAATTTCATGTTTTTTAATATTCATATTAGTTCTAATGTGGTTTTTTTTGTGGAGTATCATTATTTAACATGAATCTTCCTGCTTTTTATACTTAGAATTGCAAGTATAAAATAATGTCGAACCCAAAAACGGACTCCACTCCAAAAATAATGTTTGGCACAGAATATTTTACGATATCTGACTAAAATTATAAGTAATTCATTTTATTTAAATATAGATGTGAAATTTCAAAATTACGAGTATATAAAACTAAAGATGGCATCAATAAAAATTTGTAGAATATACTCTCTCCGCCCTAGCGTATTTGTCAAGTTTGATTTTTTCGTGTCAAACATGATAAACTATAAACTTCAATTCAACAAAAAATGTAATGTAAATTAGTACTCGGTATAAAATTAATTTGTTTTAGATTTATCTTTGTTAAAAACTTTATTATTTTCTTTCATTCTACTAAAACGCAGTTCAAAATAAGAGTAATCGAAACTCAAAATTCGTTCAGTTTAATCTGAAAAAGTCAAACTGAACAAATACATTGGAAAAAAGTACTCTATAATATATCACTTGAAAATGTGAATAGTAACAACGACCTAGGCAAGGGGAATAACTTTTGAGTTGATAGATGCCCGAACAGGGACACCGTATGCATCTACTCTTTGTTTTATGTTTCCCCTTGGAATTTTGCTCGATGCTACCTACTATTAGTGTGCCCACAAACTTGTAAGTTTTCTAGTGTTGGTATTTTTTTAAGAAAATAATTGAAAATCAGATTTAAACATATTATGCTTGCCTCATTTTCACATTTGTATAAGATTATGAAGTGCATTCTCAATTGGCAAAGAGGCATTCCTATCATTTGGAAGATCATGGCCTAGTTCAGGTTCACCCGGAACTTCCAAAAATCTGTTTCATGTAACTCGGCGGGGAGATTTTGAGCCATGGATACCAGACCAAACCCTTTACATGAAAATGCATTTCATGTAGCTTGGCAAGAAAATTACGGGACATAAGGAGTATAAACGATACGGAGCAGAAACGATCGGTTTACATACACACCCACACCCGAGACAACATGGTTTATGATTCAATCTCAAAGGCACTCTTATCATTTGGTAGATCCACCAAGATCATGGCCTAGTTCGGGTTCTCACCCGGAACGTCCAAAAATATGTTTCATGTAGCTTGGCAAGAAAATTACGGGACGTAAGGAGTATAAATGATACGGAGTAGAGCACAAATAAATGTTTGGGTTTTGGTTCCAGCATCAAGCAAGGCAGCTACTTTGCCCTCTCTATCTCTTTCTTTAACCTTCTACTTATTACTGAGAGCATATATACCTAAATGTACTTAGAGTTGAATGTTTTACCTTTATTTACCTCCTTTTCTGCTTTGGAGTCCATTGTTTCACAAGCAGAGAATAACCTTCTGTAGGTATGTGTAAAAACCCAGATTCCATTACCAGACATATATTTCTCAAGATTCTATTCTTCCGAACCGACCACATCAATATAATTATCCTACTCTTGTGGGCCCGTTTACTTACTCCAAATGTTTTACAAATGTTCGTGTGTGCAAGGGAGAAGGCAAAAATACTTCAAGTAAAGATTTAAGTGAAGTGTAAGACGGATTGCTTACCTCTTGAGCTTTTTTTAGCAGAAGGGGGGCTGAGAAGAGATGTTGTTCGGAGAGGGTGAATCCACGATGATCAACCATCTCAAGAGAGAGTTTGAAGCTTTGCTTGCAAGAATCAGCAGTCTGGAGAAAGAAAATCAGGAACTGAGACGAGAAACAGCTCATCTCAGGTCACAGGTTAACAAGCCATTCAAGTCACATCATGTTGAGAGGAACACCATGTTGGGGAAGCAGAAGCTGGAGAATTCCACGGAGCTGAAATCCAAAGAAACAGCGTTGGAACCTGCAAACAAACAAGAAATGAAAACGCAGTCATCGTGTCAGCTTCAACAGAAACCTGGTACTAGTAATAAGTTGCCAGCAGGCCCAGCACCACCGCCCCCACCACCACCTTTGTCCAAGACGGGTGGCGCGAAAGCCCTACGACGCGTACCTGAGCTGATAGAATTCTACCGGTCACTTGTGAAGAGGGATGCTCAGAAGGAAAGGAGTAATGCAGTAGTATCATGCAGTGCAGCTTTGAATCCCAAGAACATGATCGGAGAGATTGAAAACCGATCTTCGCATCTTCTTGCTGTTAGACTCATGTTATTCATATCATTCCTAAACAGATTCTCCTGTATTTGCAATGTTTCTTCACCAGGCTAAGGTAACGATTCTTCGAGTGCAGATAAAAACAGATGTGGAGACACATGGAGAATTTATAGAAGGCTTGTCGAGGGAGGTAGATGCAGCAGCATTTACAGAGATCTCAGAAGTTGAAAGCTTTGTGAAATGGCTGGATGGAGAACTGACCTGCTTGGTGGATGAAAGGGCAGTCCTAAAGCACTTCCCCAAGTGGCCTGAAAGAAAAGAAGACGCATTGAGGGAAGCGGCTTGCACTTACAGAGAGTTAAAGAACCTTGAGTCCGAGATTCTATCTTTCAAGGACAACCCGAAACAACAAATATTACAGTCCCTCAGAAAGATTCAAACACTACAAGACAGGCAAGATTGGGAGAAATAGATGGCAGATATTAGGGTTTAGGGTCCCAAAAAGATAAGCTATATGATGGTTTGCATGTGTTAATGTGTATATTTATCTTAACATTGAAGGGTTTGATCTATATATTAAGTTACACAATAGAAACTCTGAAGTTTTGGGTAAATCTGCTCAGATTGGAAAGAAGTGTTGGCAATGTGGAGAGAATTCGAGAAGGAACAAGCAAGCGATATAAAGAGCTTCAAATACCTTGGGCATGGATGCTGGAATCTGGATTTGTTGGTCAGGTAACCATTGTGTTGATGACTTGGTGTATTTGTGTATATGTCTGCAAAAAAAACCTCAAACAAAACAAAACCCATCCTGCAGTTGAAATTAAGTTCTTTGGGATTAGCAAAGCAGTATATGGGAAAGATAACTAATGAGTTGAAATGTCGTGAGCCCCCTCAAAGAGGAGACCTAATTCTTCATGGAGTTCGATTTGCGTATAGAGTTCATCAGGTACATTCATATATACACACCTAGTCTATTAGCCCTTCATCAAGTTTTTCTTCTGAGATACAGAGAAATATAATGTCCCTGGTGTATCTCCCTTTTTTAGTTCTAATATGGCAAACAATAATTGACACCAGAAACACAGTTTGCAGGAGGATTCAATACAGAAACTGTGAAGGCATTTGAAGGCCTGAAATCCATCAGCATAAATCATGAAAGCCGATAGGTTTCATGGGGACCGTGAAATTCTCAAACAAAAATGTTAGGTGAAAACTGCTTACCTTCTCTCACATGACCCACCCTTGTGTGAGAGAGCTTGTGGCTGGGAGGGTGTGCACCCAGCTAGCACCACCGATTGTCAAAATGCTGCCATTACTGCAACATCTGTAATTAGGACCTCGGGAAATTCTGAATGTAAGAGAATAATCATGTAATGTACACTGTTTTTCAGTCCATGTTAACCACTTTTGTGCATGCTCTAGCATGTCTTCTAATAAATAATACTTTGGCAAAACCTGAGTATGTTATGCTTTTTGAAAAGCTCATTTGAATTAAATTCAGTGGGTGTTTCTCTATACTTATCAGCTAGTCAAAACTGCTTATAAGCTATTTTTAACTTATAAGTCAGCTAATGACATGTTTCTCCGTGCTTATAAACTGACTTATAAGTTGCTTATATGTCAAAAAAATAAGTAGGTCTTACCTACTTATTTTAAGCCAATTTTTTTCGTTTATCTGTTTAGACTAGATTATTTACAAAACTATTCCTCACCATTAATGAATATCCCCAAATGACTTATCTATCATTTGTCATTTTATTTCGACGAATGAATATTTAACTTATAGCAACTTAAAAGTTAAAAACTGCTAATCAGCAATAAGCTAATAAACACGCTAGCACCAAAAAAACACCCTCTCAACCGTGTAGCATGGGGTATGATCTACTTACAACAATAAGTTATCAAAATGAAACCCTGCCAGATTTATATTTATACCCAACTTTTTCATTCTAATTGCTTGTATGGCCACATGAAAGAATCAATGCATCCATGTTCCTTTAGAACATGACACTTGACCAGACCACAGTCCCATGTTAACAACAAACCGAACAAGACTAGTAGTTCGGGAACTAAAACCGGGTAGTTTAATTGGTCTAGAACTGTCCATGGGTTGGAACTTCACTACATGACCCAGCTATTCAGATTTAAAAACCTTATAGTCTGTTCTACCCCATAGTTATTTAGGTGACACTCTCACATTCAAGTATTCATACCATAGTCAAGTTAACCTCGAACCCAATTAGATTTAGAAATAAACAAAATGCTTCCAGATCAAACCAGCTAAATCCACACTTCCACATGACAGCTTCAGACCATAGAAACAACAATACATTTATCTAATAATAACAATGCATCCATAGATTTGAATATATACTTTTTAAGAAAGGGATACTTAAATTGCAAATGTCACGATACTGATAACTAGTGCGATGGAGAATTGAGTTTACTTCAAGACAACAATCAACAGCGGCATATGCAATTACAACTTAACACAAAATAAACAGCTGGGGAAGATGATAGTAAATAGCGATCTACTTGGACCTCTGTCTCATCTTTCGGCGCTTCCTCTTCAATCTCCTCGTGCGCTTCTTCTTCCACTGCAATCGAACAATATAATGATAACTAATGATGTCTGCGACTGAAGAACTGATAATTCCGAATCGGAGGAAGAAAATGGACTGGCCGACGTACCTTAGCCCTCGGTTAGAGTCTCCTATATCGCTGTTTCCAAATCTGTGCGTCTCAACCGCCGCCGAGAAGCGGAGAAGGAGCAACGGTAATGGGTCAAATTCTCCATTAGAGTCCAAATGTCCAATATTGTCGTTCAACTAATTCCAATTCATTTTTTACACTATTATTCCAAATTCACATAATTTTTCAAAATTGAAATTAAAATCCTCAATTCCAATTCTATGATTTGAATTTCATGTACCAAACGGGGCCTAAATGATTTTATTTAGATTAAGGGTCCCTTTGGTTGAATGGAATTGATGGAATTGATTTGAATATTCATGAGATTCAATTCCATAGACTAGATCACACCCATTCTAATTCATTTTTTGTTCCATCTGTTCCAAATTCATATAATTTTTGTGCTAACAAATACCAGAATTAGAATTGAAGTCTTCAATTCTAATTTCATAGTTTGAATTCTATATACCAAACGGGGCATAATATTGTTTTGATTTTTAAATTTTTATGAAATATTTATACGGAGTATTAAATAGTACAAAAATTTTAATCATTTCCTTAAATAACATTTAAATTATTTTATTTCCTAAATAACATTTAATAATGTTCTGAAATAGAAATAATGTTCAAGTGATGACGAACATTTATGATGCTATTTAAGGAAAATCATTATATTTTAGTATTATTTAAGTAAACTTTTCAAATTTTATTTTATTCTACCAATAGTTACAGTAATTGATGATTAAAACTTATTCAATTTAATTTGATAAAAATCAAACTAGATAAATAAACCCAGAATTTTTAACAAAAAAAAGTTGGTATATCTGTTTGCAAAATTTTAAGCATGGTGTAAATTGTGTGGACTAGGCGCCGCGCGTCCGCCTGGCGGCATGGCCCCGCTTCCAACGGCCAAGTGGGCCCATACTCTGAGGCAAGAGATAAATGACAAAACCTTTTCCCATTATCCCTCGCTCTCTCTATCCCCAACCCCTCTCCTTCTCATCGTCTCCATTCCACTGTAAAATCTTCACCCAACTCTAATCATCCCTCCGCCTACGCATGGGGTCCGGTACATCGAAGCTTCCCGACAGCGCCGCCTCCCACGGCGGAGCCCAGCTCTTCGTGTCTCTGAAAATGGAGAATTTCGACCTCAAGCTCAAACCCGACCTCCTCCCTCACGTCTTCGGCTCCGTCCCTCTCGTCGGCTCCTGGGACTCCTCTAAAGCCGTAATATCTTCCTCCTTTCCTGTCGCTTCAATTTCTTCCCCTAGCTTCACAATACTTGTTCATTTGATTTCTATTTCATTGTCTGTATGTGAATATAAATGTAATAACAAAAACTAACAGCTTCAAATGGTGCTCGAATCGGCCTCCACCTGGGAATTGAGCTTCGTAGTGCCACCAAATCATGGTTAGTAATTTAGTATGCTATATTACCAACTTCAGGTGTCCGAATTCGTCGGGTTTGTAGAGTTACCCACAATTAGTCTGTGTGTGTGATCATATATAGAGATATTGGATTTCAAGTTCTTGCTAAAGCCGAAGCATAACTGTGGACCGTGTTTAGTTGAGGAGGGTGTGAATCGTGTGTTAACTGGGGGAGCATTGCAAGGGGATGGCCGGTCTGCTCTGTTTAGGTTGAATGAAGAAGAGGTTATTGAGTTCAAAGTTTACATTAAGGCTGATAGGGTGTCTCCGTTTGACCTTGCTGCCAGTTGGAGGGCTTTTCAGGAGAATCGCAAGCCTTCAGCTGTTCGAGGGATACCAGATGTTTGTATCAACTCCAGTGAGGAGATTTGCAATGAGGCAGGTTTTAGTCTATTAATTCTGGAGTACTAACTTGTATTTGTTTTCCTCTTAAGTGGATATATCCTTGACATACTAATCCCATTCAAAGCATGTCTGCAGAATGGATATTCGTCAAGTCTAGAACTTGATCTTGAGCATTATGTGGTTCCCCCTCCGGCTGCATCTGCAAACTCTGCCCTGGTTTATGCTGCAAATCTGACAGAGACTCCCAGGTCAATGAAAGGTAATGGGGTATTTTCCTGTACCAATGGTGATAATAGTGGCTGGCATTCATACCAAGATGACCGTGCTTCGAATGATCAGCCTGCAACGGTAAAGGTTAACCCCTTGTTTTTGCTTTCACTTAAAGCTTCACTTGGCCAAAGCTAGTTATTTTGGTTAATGCCTATATATTTGCAAGTTAGCTTACTAAATTTTTCCCTAGCTCTGTCACCATTCAATTCATGTGGTTACTAAAGAGGGCATAAAGTTAAGCTATACCGCCTATACGTTACCAATCTTCCCATATCCATCTTTTAGCGCGCTTTATATATCTTTGCAACGTTTTCCTTTCAAAGACTTCAATAGATTTGCAGCCGAATGATACTCTCTTTCAGTTCATGTCTGAATATTGCCATGCTGACATTTATTTAGGAGGATGAAGAACTTTTTCCAGAAGTGTTGAGAGTGCCTTCAGGTTCTGGAATTGTTGAGTCAAATTCTGTAGGAACAGGTTCTGCTTCTCAAAAGCAAGAATGTTGTAGAAGCTTCCTTGTGGATAGGGGTGTGGGGTTCCCGAGACTAGTGAAATCAGCTAGCACATTCACTATTGACCTAAAGCTTAGTTCAGAAACCAAGGTTTTTACTATTCCGATCACAATTACTAGTTAAGTCCTGAACATTCCATTTCATGCGACTGATCCTTTGCTGCTATTGCTTAGAATCGAATGCCAGCTGCGGCAGGAGCTGTAGCAGCTGCAGCAATAGCAGATCAGATGCTTTGGCCCAAGGAGGATAGACATCTAGCAATTGTCCTGGTATTTTTCTTATGTGACTGTCAGAGTATCATTGCTTTTGAGATGATTTAAATAGTACTTGAGAAAACAAAGCCTCTTTACTTTTAAGTAGGGGTAAGATCTCTGTACATGCACCCTCCCCATACCCTACTTTCGTGGGATTCTATTGGGCGTAGTTGTTATTGGAAAATATAAATTGAAAGAGTTTCAGCTTCACATGAGATGATATTGTGAGTTTGAGAAACTAATGAAGAATAATCTTAAAATTTGCTTGTTAATGCAGGTTGGCTTGCCAGCTCGTGGAAAAACATTTACTGCAGCTAAACTTACTAGATATCTTCGATGGTTAGGGCACCAGACCAAGCATTTCAATGTTGGGAAGGTATTTGATGCTCCCATTTTTATTTATTATCAACTTCCTTATGCACTTGAAATAACAGGGACTTGTTTGTTTGTTTATCTTTGTTTACCAGTATCGGCGTCTCAAACATGGAACCAATCAGGTATTTTTCTTTTGCTGCCAAGCATTTTGTAAACCAGAGATATTCATTGGATAGCATCCTAATTCTCGTTATTGATCATTAGAGATATTTTTTGGTTACCATAGGTACCAAACATGTGCCCCGGACACCTAGACGCATCACCCTCCAATTACTGAATTAAATAAAAATACAAACTCTCTCCATGCCTAAATGGTTGCATGGATTTGTGTAATTGGTTTTGTGGGTAATTAATAAGTTTTTAGTGGAATGAATATGTCTAGCCATGTGGTTGTACGAGATGGTATCATTTGCAGAGATATTTACCTATTCATTTTAACATTGAGTAATATAATTCATGTATTGTACTTTGTTTTGCAGCCTTCACTAATTGTCTTCTTAAGGGGGTCTTCATGTTAAAAAAATTCCACTTCTTGATCATTTTTTCGTAAGAAACATTTGTAGGAGTTTTGACCATATAGTAAATGCTTAACATGAACCGGGCCTCAATTATTTTCAGTCCAGGCTTGGACTATATTACTCGGGCTAAAAAATTTATATTGAAGATATTTTTGGAAGGAAAGCATGTTCTATACATATGCCATGTGACCACCCCAATGGATAGCTTATTAAAACAAAATAAAGAATTCATGAATTGCCTCGTACAAGGTTACATGCTTACATTAACTTCGTTGTAGTTTTTACCAGAGAACTTTGATTTTATTTTGTCCTTCAATTTATTGGGGGTCAAATGGTTAATTGTTTATTAGATACTACATATGTTATTACTTATTTCCATTTTCACTTAAACAATGATAATACAATAACAAGATCAGCATTCCAGACATTCCAGCCAAATGAAACTTAAAGCTTGAAGAAGAATCGATAGATATTACAGGAATACTATAGCAACTTTTTTATACACTTTATATTGCAGTCTGCTGATTTTTTCCGAGGTGATAATCCTGAAGGCTTGGAGGCACGAAATGAGGTAAATCATCATGAATATGCATTGTGTTTCTGTTATAGTGTTATGCTCAATCGGTCATGTTGATTTTTTTGGCTTGTTGATTGTGTATCATATATTGATTTTTCTGTTGTGTTTTCATATTTCTGTTATTTCATTTTCATTTTATGTTCCATTGGCCTTTTCCCTTGCACATAGTCTTAATACAGCTCGTGCTACTTAGGTAGCTGCCCTTGCCATGGAAGACATGATAGCTTGGATGCAAGAGGGCGGACAGGTAAGTGATTTATTATCATAGAAGAGTTCTTATCTTTTGGGGTTCCAATAATGATAATCTTACTTGAAGCAGGTGGGGATATTTGATGCAACAAACAGTACGAGGAGCAGAAGGAATATGCTTATGAAAATGGCTGAGGGAAAATGCAAGGTGCTCCCCATTTTCTATACCATTCCAAATGCTATTTTTTCCCAAATACTAATTTTGAAAAACTAAAGGGCAGCAATTTTTCAATCAATCTAGATTTAAGTGGAATGCTTCAGTTATCAAAATTAGATTGAAATACTATGTACTTTTTTCTGCAATCACTTGATTGTGCACTTCTTTTAGACCAGTTACTGCAGTCCTCTAAGTCATGAGTCTGACCTTCTACTGCATGCATTTCGATCCCATACTATTAGAGGATGCAGTAGTTCGTTACACCATATATGATAGTGCTAGCTAGTATGGGGAGTTATTTCGTTGCTCTAAGGATCTGTTCTAAAAGGTGTTGCCTAAGCCTGAGGCAGTGGAAAAGCTCCCCACAAAGCAGCATGGTGGGGAAAAGGTGGTCACCTTAAAAGTTGACCACCAAAGGCGTGAGCCTAGCTCCCATGCCACACCGTTGGGGGGGTGGGGTGGTTGGAAGATTTAGCTCATTAGAAACTACTGATCAAAATTTTAAAAAAAGAAAGCGCACCTTCAATAGAGGCATCATATATCATATTGTTTTATTTCACTTGCAGATGATTTTCCTGGAAACAATCTGTAATGATCCAAAAATAATTGAAAGAAACATACGTCTCAAAGTTCAACAAAGCCCAGATTATGCTGAAGAGTATGGTTGCTGCATCAAGTCTTAAATGTTTAAGAGACTTAGCTTATAGAAAAATTATTCGCAAGTATTTATCAAAGGTATGCTATTTAAATGTATTGACATGCAGAACAGATTTTGAAGCTGGATATAAGGATTTCAAAAGTC